GATATCTTTATCCAATTAAATAAATCGTATAATCTCGTTAGAAAATCGTTAATTTCTTCCTTGAATTGATTTTGACGATATATTAAATGATATCTTCATTCAATTGAATCAATCACATAATATCCTTACAAAATCGTTAATTTCTTAGATTTCAAAAAAAATCTTAATCTCAAATAATTGATCGAATTAAACCGTAAAACAATAATAATTGAAATATGTATAACCAGAATATATTTCGTTTAACAATTTCCGAAGAACGCGAGAAAATCAATTAATCAAAAACAAGTAAAACTAAAAGCATCGTTAAAAATATAGTGAAATACAATCGAATGGAATGCCACGTGCACAAACATTTCTGCGATATCGTTCCATTCGACTCGTATTTCGATTATATTCGTAGCATCCTCGAGAGCTGGTCACAACTCAACGGAACACGTACAGAAGAATTGCAAAGCTCCGTACAGTTTGACGGCCGCTCGTGAAACCGCTCTAGTTCAAAATCCTCCCTAGCGACCTTAGAGCGAAGCCAGAAATATTAACGCGATCAGCCATCAAATGTTTACGAGTTCGCTTGTGCCCCGTCGATCGACGGTCGAACGAACGGCGATCCTGTTGTTTAAGCGAACGTTGCACCGGTGGTCTCTCTCTGTCTCGTTAACAGTGAATTAGTGGCGGAGCTGCCGTTCATATTGATGCACCCTAAACCGGAAGAAGAGGAACCGGCGCCATCGACGGCGCGGCCGAGCCCGACGCAGAAGGCGGACAGCGGCGAAATACCGCTCGACACGAACCTCATTCAGCTGGACACGTACGTGATCAATACATATTTAAGTACGGTAGCCGATCTATTCCCGTCAGTCAAGGAACGTTTCGATCGTGCCGACAAGGATGACGTCCGCGCGGACGACGCGTCCCTTGTCCGACCGACGGACGATGATCCACCGGCATTCGAAAATTATCCACTTCAAAAATTACCGACTTAATTATCCCTTAGCGCTCCACGCGTTTCTCGAGTACTATCTACCGGCAACTCCGGCACGTTTTTGGAGCAAAGCGCCCGAGATAAAAGAAGTCTTATTTCGAGCGGAAAAGATTACACGTCTTTTTGAATGCGTTTGTTTTTATTCATTCTATGGTGCTAAGTATAAAAATGGGCAAAAAATGTTTCAATCGTAATGGTATCTACTTAACATTGTGCGAGGTCGGTGCATCGACATCGCGAATTGCGACCGAAATTTCCAAGCAGCAATTGCATCCTCATCGAAATGGGTAAATTTACTATTAACGATATTCTTCACAATTCTTATATAAATATATCGCTCGTGTTCTTCGACGCGATTTATTATAAAATTAGCATTGCGAATCGTCCGTTGAATTCTGTTCGGATACGGAATTATCGAAACAAAAATATCTTTTGCGCGAGTTTGCCGGAATTTTTTTATTGTTAATCTTCGCTGGAATCGGCTCAATTGATAATTAAATTAAATTAAAAATTAGTAAATATTCTTCGGACGTTCTAAAATAAAGTTGAACAGTGTTTTTCTGAAAAATATCACTACCAGCGACTCAGGTACATTTTTGGAGCAAAGCGCCCGAGATAAAGGAAGTCTTATTTTGAGCGGAAAAGATTAGACGTCCCTGCGAAAGCGTTCGATTTTATTAATTTTATGCTGCTAAGTATAAAAATGGGCAAAAAATGTTTTAATCGTAATGGTACACACGCTAAGCACGTTTTCACTACAAATAAAAATTGCCAACGTCGAACGAAAACATAGCATCTTCGGTGTAATCATGCTAAGAACATTAGGCTCCGCAGCTAAGTCTTCGAATTTACGGAACAAATGACGGATGTCTCCATAGCGGAGCCAACGGAGCGCTAAGGGTTAACCTTTTAGGTACGGCTGAATTCTGCGCGAGGCTATTTCTCTGGACGGCAGAGTCTGATGTGTACTGTACAGAGTCTGATACTGTATATGCATGGTGTCCCAAAAATGTCTCGCAATCCGAAAGTTGCGGGTTCCTCAGGCCATTTGAAGCAACTTTTTCCTTTACAAAAATTTTCTCCGAGGCACCGTTAACGAGTTATTAATGAAAAACAGTGACCAATGAGAAGCGAGCTCAGCTAACGCGAGGCGATCGAGCCAATGAGCGGAACTGGGCTTCGCGCGCTGGTTGGCTAGGCCGCCTCGCGTCAGCCGTACTCGATTCTTATTGGTCACTGTTTTTCGTTAATAACTCGTTAACGGTGCCTCGGAGAAAATTTTTGTAAAGGAAGAAGTTGCTTCAAATGATCCGAGGAACCCGCCATTTCCGAATTGCGAGACATTTTTGTGACACCCTGTAAACTGTTGTAAATCGATGCGAAGACGAAAGAAGTGTGAAACGATGCATATGAAGACGATTATTTGATTCAAACGATGAGCGAGTGAGCTACTAGAGCCACTATAATGGCGCGTCGTCCAGAGAGATGACATCCGCGAAAGCCACTATAGTGGCGTGTCGTTGTAAAAGATGACATCCGCGAAAGCCACTATAGCGGCGCGTCGGGCCTAAAAGGTTAAAGACTGGTTTCCTTGCAGCCTAAATCCCGCTCGCCGCGCACGATACAAAGGTCGCGAAATTTTAAACTCCCGTTCCCCGTTGTGGTTGCAGGGAAGCGGACGGCGACGACGACATCATCTTCGAGGATTTCGCGCGGCTCAGGCTGAAAGGCGAGACGGAGGCCTGACCAAGTCGTGCCGGTACGATCGACCTGTACGAAACAGCGAAACGTCCAATGTTCCAGAACGCTGCGTCGCCGATCAAGTTGATTTCATAAGATACCTCGATCCTACGAGAGGGGGGGAATGGGAAGATCGTGCCGCGCGAGCCACGAAACGATACTCTCGAGACGGAGCGTGTTAGACTCTTTGTCAAGCTAATGTTTTACGGTTTCTCGATGATCTTCCTAATCAGGACTAAGGGCGTCGCACCGCCGCAACGGTCGACCATAGAAATTAGTTGGACGTGTAAGCTGCCCGAATCGACCGGCGATCTAGGATCCATTTACGAGCGGAGAACTTGTTTATTAGTGTCTCGACGAGATCGAAGAGTAGGCGACCGATAGAACAACGTGTTAGACGTTGGAACGCCGAGAGAAGTGCGAGGACTCGCTCGCAGAAAAATCTTAATGTCAAGGTTAAATTTCGGTACCGGCGATCGAGGAGCTTAAAGACAGCGTAGCTTTCTCCCGGCTGGATCCTAGACACGTTCGGTGGTTTTCGACAGTCCAACCAATTCGCCGTCGACTTAACAAAGAGCTTGTTGATACGTTGCGCCCGGACAGCTACCGTGAGAACGGCGTCGCCCGCGGAGCGTCGCGAGAAACGAGATCGAGCATATCTCGAGCGGAGCCGATCGCTGCGTGTCACGAGTAGCGTTGACAGGAAATTGATGGCGCGAGGGGAATTCCTTCGCTTGCCCTTCCTCCCCGCCCCTCCACGCCCCCTGCGCCTCATGCCAAGCAAACGCCAACGAACCGAAGTTGGAATAATAAAGTGGATGCGTACAGCGTCGCTGGATCGTCGCGTGACGATGCATAGGACAGCTTTTTGCCCACGACGCGTCCCCTCGCCACTTCGCTGTCTCTCTCAGCGATCCTCCGGTAGGAGCGGCAGGGAGGGGGGAAAGTGCGCGACGACGATTCGAGGAGCCCCACGCGCCATCAATTTCCTGGCAACACCGGTCACGAAGCTGTTCGTCCGGAGGGCAGCGGAAGCGTGCTCCGGAGATCACGAAACTCGTCGCTCCAAGAGGCCGCGAGCGTGTGCTAAAGACGCGCGTGTACACGGTTCCTATTTCATGGGTGCGCGTGAGATCGGAGCATCCGTATTTCACTTCGCGGTTGATATTTTCTGTGTACGGGGTGTAAGGAAATTATTGCACGAGAGAGAAATGACGGGTAGCTGAGGTGATTTGAAGAAAGTTTTTCCTTTGCGAAAATGCGATCCGCGGCTTCGTTTGCGAGTTACTGATGGAAAACGGTGACCAATGAGAGGCGAGATTAGCTGGCGCGGGGCGGCTGAGTTAACGAGCAGGCGGAGCCTAGTTCCGCTCAGATCTCGCCTCTCATTGGTCACTGTTTTTCGTTGATAACTAGTAAACGGAGCCGCGGATTGCATTTTCGCTAAGGAAAAAGTTACTCCAAATGATGCGAGGTACCCCTGATTTCTCGCTTGTACCATAATTTTGAGATACCCTATATGTACACATTGTATATGTACGATTCGTGTGTACAGTGATTCACAAAGGTGTTCGTACACCTTTTAAAACGTAATAACTTTTTTAAAAAAACTGGACTAAGTGACTTGAATTTTTTCTAGAACTAGAACTAAACAGTGACCAAAATGTTTTTTAAAAATTTTGCTATTATTTGGAATGACAAAAAGAGAAAATAGAGTAACTTTTTTATTTGAGCCTTATAACGAAAATTTGAAACATGTCTTTCGTAGATAGCAAAAATCGCAGTTTTGTCACGATTTTGATCAAAAATTGTAAAAAGTCTGCAGTTTTAAAAATCTTTGAAAGCCTGTAGCTCGATTTTCGCTTAACCGATTTCAATCAAGTTCCCAGCACGCATATAAGTCACCGAGACCTACGAGAGGCATTTTTTCAATTTTCGTTACAAGGTCAAATGAAAAAGTTAAAAAAAACAAGAGCTTTTTATTTTCTTCTGTCATTCCAAATAATGGTAAAATTTAAAGAAGACCTTTCGATCATTGTCTAGTATATACTAGTATACTATTAGTAGTATACACTAGTATACTATTAGTAGTACATACTAGTATACTATTAGTAGTACATACTAATATACTAGCAGTAGTATTAGTAGTATATACTAGTATATAGTATACTAGTACATAGTATACTAGTTAATAGTATACTAGTACATAGTATACTAGTTAATAGTATACTAGTATATAGTATACTAGGATATAGTATACTAGTATATAATATACTAGTTAATAGTATACTAGTATATAGTATACTAGTATATAGTATACTAGGATATAGTATACTAGTATATAATATACTAGTTAATAGTATACTAGTATATAGTATACTAGTATATAGTATACTAGGATATAGTATACTAGTATATAATATACTAGTTAATAGTATACTAGTATATAGTATACTAGTATATAGTATAGTAGTATATAGTGTACTAGTATATAGTATACTAGTATATAGTATAGTAGTATATAGTATACTAGTATATAGTATACTAGTAGTAGTATATACTAGTATACTAGTCCCTCTGCCATCTAAAAAAGAAATTCAAGTCCAGTCTCAAAAAAGTTATTGCGTTCTAAAAAAGGTGTGCGAACACTTTCGTCTGCAATTGTACGTGCACGACGAGCGCACTGGTCTCTAATTGCACGGATAAACCGAGAATTCTACGTACCGCGGTACGAGAACGTTCAAACGACGGGGGACAGAGAGCGCCGGCGATCTCCGGTTGATCACATTTTTATCCGAAACAGCGAGACGGTAACACGCTTTAGAATGGTACTAATTGTTGCACAAAAAGAAACGGAATATCCCCGTAGCGGAATCGACGAACGTCGCTCTACGGAGCAGCATTTTGTAGGCGACGCGCGGCGGGGCGCCTTCACGCTCCGGCGCGTTCTTTCGTGGCATGTAACGAGGCATCAAAGACTGATACACACCGTTGACAGAGAATAACCGAAACGAAACAAAGAGAACACATAGCCAATAACATATTTATCGTAAACTCTCCATCAACCACGAACAACGGATTCGCGGTTTCGAAGATGAAATCTCGTCGGTGGAGGAGATTATTTTCAGGGGCGGGGAGGGAGGGAGGGACGAGAAGCGCAAAGTCTCTTGAGATACGGGACTATAAACCGACAGTCGTTTCTGTAACTTTAATTAACATGGCCAGTATAGGACGTAAATACGGCCCAGCGTTACAACGCTGATCCGTGTGGTGAATCAATCCTGTCAACCTGTAGAGACGCTTTTACCAGTCGTTCGCTGATCACTCCAGGAAAAAAGAGAAGGCGTCCGTATTCGTAGGGCCAGATTATTTATTTGTTCTCCTAGGATCGTTGTAGCCTGTTTCGTTGTAGACCCTTCGGTCGAGCTCCGGACGAAGAGGTGTACGCGTTTCCACGTGCCCTTTCGTTCGTCGATCGCGATCCTCGAGGACCGGAGTCGGGGCGCGGGTTCTATTCAAATTACCTATCGGCGGGTCCTCGAGAGAACGAAGCGACGCAAATTTAAACGAAACGAACTCCGCGCGGTACCGATAGCCGTTTTCCTCGTGTATAGCGGCGCATTTAGCGATAGCTAAATCGCCGATAGCGGCGGCCGTGGCGCGGCGTGCCCCACGGTCGCGAGAAAAGCCTGTCGCGAGAAACCCGACACGAATTTATGGCTGGAATCCGATCCTTGCGACCAAAAAAAAAAAAACGTTTGCGAGTCCTCGACCGGCGAAGAGCGCGGACCGGAGCGCTTCGCGGAGACGACATTTGCCGGAGCAAACGGCGTCCCATCGATCCTAGACGGACGATGATTGTGCATTCAATGTTTTCGAACACGCGGTCGAAGTTCGCGCCTCGGGTCAGGAGAAGCGTGCGTCTTTTGTATCAATCTCGAACGTCGAGCAACGCGAGCGTCGCGTTGCTTTCCGCGTATGCTCGCGGAACAACAAATTCAACGAATCCTACTTAAACGTTATATTATATGAATGTACACACACGTATACACACACGAACGCGCGCGCGCACACACACATACGAACACGGACACATATGTATGTATGTATATGTATAGATGTACGTAAACGACGTTGTGTCACGATGCTTAAACGACGACTTTAAGCGAGGCTGGTTATAAAAAACAATGTTTAGGTAAACAAATTCAAGCGGTTTTAGCTTTTACACGTTTATACCGAGGTCAGGAAGGCAAATTGGGTTTTTGCTAATCGTACAACTTTTCTATTCCCTTTTTTATTGTATCGCACATTTTGTACCGAACCAGATATCATAGTGCCATCGTTATTACTTGTTGGACGTTCTTTTGACCGAGGGGATTATCCAGGGACAGGGGGCGACGATACACCGGTCCGGTTTATCGCGATATTTCGTGTGAAACCACGCCGTCAGCTTTGCATCGACCGTTTCACGGCGGGTCTCATGAGTTCTTCTGAATCGTTTCAAGTTTCTGTTCGCGTAGCGGTTCTCTTGTCGAGACAGACAGACAGAGAGAGAGGGGGGGAGAGTGTGTGCGTGAGAGAGAGAGAGAGAGAGAGAGAGAGAGAGAGAGAGGCGGCGAGCGAGACGAATAACAGAACAATTCCGAGCGCGAGACGAGAGAAAGGGATCATTCCAGGTGTATGCGATTGATGTGTAACGCCTTTAAGAACAAACGTGGATAAACAGTTGTCCCTAAGTGGCGGATCAGCTTCGTCGAGTCGCCTTTAACCAGTTAGCTGTGGCGCCTCTTTTTCAATTTTCACGCACCTATACGTGTCATCGCTAGAATCAAGCGACGACGAGTATACTCGTCGAACACAGATCAAGTGTCGCTGTTAAAATATTGGATCGAAAAGACGGTTTTATTTGATAAAATTAACCATTTTATTACTAATGTTTACTTATTCATTTAACATTAACATATACTACGTATGTATAATAGACTAGTACTAAAAGCATATAAAAGTTAAAAATTCAAATTACTGCTGAAAAAATGGTATTTCAGCGAAGCAAGGTACAATACAATACAATATCGTGAATTATTCGCATAATTGTTCATACTATTTATTCGTTTGTTTTATTCCGGCCTGGCCTCGAAGTATTCTGAACATCTTGAAATTAGAAAATACGTTTTCGTTTTCGCCAAAGTTACAATTTAAATAGCCAAAATGGTCGCTACTTTTGACGCACGACGAATATACTCGTCGCGACGCAAAATAATGCCACTTCTCCATGACGAGTAAACTCGTCAAACACGGCTAACTGGTCAATTAATTTACGAATGCGATTTTCCAGCGTACATCCTCGGGCAGAGATGTTTTTTCTTTTTTTTTTAATTAACGTCGCAGGCAACGAACTCGATTTCTCTTTTATTCGTCGCAAGCCACAAATACGAATCGACTCTGCGAATTACTTGACTACGACCAGTCACAGAGATCCGCGACTTGGGAACGCTCTCTGTACGATATCGTACCAGCACGAACCGAACGTTAAGGCGTCCGCTGTCAATTACAAAACAACTTTAGCGAGACTAGCAACAGTTGGCGATGTACCAGTGGCGACAGCGTGCGCGTTAAATTGAAGCAACCTCTGCTTCGTGTCCAAGAGCGTGACTTTACGATTAGCGAAGCCGAGCGCTTGCCGAAGAGGCGAGAGACGACCGAGTGGCTCAAAACCGAAAAGACCCAGCCTGGCATTGTTTTGAAGTTTTAAGAGACCTCGGCGGAGCTTCGCGGCGGCCCGTCGCCGTCGCGCTTTCTGTTGCGCGCGGATATCGAACGAAAAAAAGTCAATTGAACAGACCAAACGAAACCGATAGGACTTTGTCATTCTCTTCGCTTTTGAACCACTCGAGGGAGGGGTGGGGCCGGGGGACGCGCAACGACCGGAGGGGCACAGGGAACGTCGACCGTGCCCCGGCGTTTCAACGAGCGCGTTACATTGTACATACAAGAGGGAGCCAATGGAGGATAGTATTTTTTATCGACTTAGCATTTACAGACGTGTATTTAGGAGAGACTATTATCGATCATACCAAAGCCAGCATCTCTCTCTTCGATGTTTCATAGAACGGCGATGTTTCCGGACGATCGGAGGGGGCAGGTGCGCGCTCGTCGCGCTTTAACCGACATAGTTATTCAGGATCGGAGAGTCCACCGTGAATGTCCAGTTAGTATTTAAAAACTAGGCGAATCCCGTGGCGCGACGCTGTCCGCGCGGTTGTACAGTAATGTCTCTCTCTGATCGACGCTCAGATTGTCCACAAAGATGGACGATCTTGGAAGAGAAGGTACAATTGTTCGAGCCTTGTGACTCGTTTTTCTTTATGGTTATCGATTGTTAACAACTATTGGGCCGGGGAATAAGTTCGTAGCGTTTTTATATTTTCTTTTATTTCGCAACGATCTTTTGCTGCTTGACGAAGTGTATAATATTCATTCGATAGTGCTCTTTTCGCTCTACATAACTGTGCTAATCGTCTTTTTGAGTAATTCAATTTTTTATTACTTTTTTAAAATTATTTTACAACTTTTCGACACCTTCTCGAAAATGTTGCTTTTTACCTCCGGGATATTCCATTTCTAAGCCTCAAAAGTAATAACAAAATAAAATTACTCAGAAAGACGATTAGCACAGTTCTGTAGAGCAGAAAGAGCTCTGTCGAATGAATATCATACACCTTGTCAAACAGCAAATA